AAAAACTGACATGTTAACAGTGGGGTGAGGGGAAAGAGGAAAACCAAGGGGGGAAAACTGACATGCTAACAGTGGGGTGAGGGGAAAGAGGAAAACCAAGGGGAAAACTGACATGCTAACAGTGGGGTGAGGGGAAAGAAGAAAACCAAGGCGGGAAACTGACATGTTAACAGTTGGGTGAGGGGAAACCAAGGGGGGAAGCTGACATGCTAACAGTGGGGTGGGGGTGGGGGCAGAGGAAAACCAAGGGGGGAAAACTGACATGCTAACAGTGGGGTGGGGGTGGGGGAAGAGGAAAACCAAGGGGGAAAACTGACATGCTAACAGTGGGGTGGGGGTGGGGGAAGAGGAAAACCAAGGGGGGGAAACTGACATGCTAACAGTGGGGTGAGGGGAAAGAGGAAAACCAAGGCGGGAAACTGACGTGCTAACAGAGGGGTGAGGGGAAAGAGAAAAACCAAGAGGGAAAAAACTGACATGTTAACAGTGGGGTGAGGGGAAAGAGGAAAACCAAGGGGGGAAAACTGACATGCTAACAGTGGGGTGAGGGGAAAGAGGAAAACCAAGGGGGGAAAACTGACATGCTAACAATGGGGTGAGGGGAAAGAAGAAAACCAAGGCGGGAAACTGACATGTTAACAGTTGGGTGAGGGGGAAACAAGGGGGGAAGCTGACATGCTAACAGTGGGGTGGGGGTGGGGGCAGAGGAAAACCAAGGGGGGAAAGCTGACATGCTAACAGTGGGGTGGGGGTGGGGGAAGAGGAAAACCAAGGGGGAAAACTGACATGCTAACAGTGGGGTGGGGGTGGGGGAAGAGGAAAACCAAGGGGGGGAAACTGACATGCTAACAGTGGGGTGAAGGGAAACCAAGGGGGAAAACTGACATGCTAACGGTGGGGTGGGGGTGGGGGAAGAGGAAAACCAAGGGGGGGAAACTGACATGCTAACAGTGGGGTGAGGGGAAAGAGGAAAACCAAGGCGGGAAACTGACGTGCTAACAAAAGGGTGAGGGGAAAGAGAAAAACCAAGAGGGGAAAAACTGACATGTTAACAGTGGGGTGAGGGGAAAGAGGAAAACCAAGGGGGGAAAACTGACATGCTAACAGTGGGGTGAGGGGAAAGAGGAAAACCAAGGGGGGAAAACTGACATGCTAACAGTGGGGTGAGGGGAAAGAAGAAAACCAAGGCGGGAAACTGACATGTTAACAGTTGGGTGAGGGGAAACCAAGGGGGGAAGCTGACATGCTAACAGTGGGGTGGGGGTGGGGGCAGAGGAAAACCAAGGGGGGAAAACTGACATGCTAACAGTGGGGTGGGGGTGGGGGAAGAGGAAAACCAAGGGGGAAAACTGACATGCTAACAGTGGGGTGGGGGTGGGGGAAGAGGAAAACCAAGGGGGAAAACTGACATGGGAACAGTGGGGTGAGGGGAAAGAGAAAAACCAAGAGGTAAAAAACTGACATGTTAACAGTGGGGTGAGGGGAAAGAGGAAAACCAAGGGGGGAAAACTGACATGCTAACAGTGGGGTGAGGGGAAAGAGGAAAACCAAGGGGGGAAACTGACATGCTAACAGTGGGGTGAGGGGAAAGAAGAAAACCAAGGCGGGAAACTGACATGTTAACAGTTGGGTGAGGGGAAACCAAGGGGGGAAGCTAACATGCTAACAGTGGGGTGGGGGTGGGGGCAGAGGAAAACCAAGGGGGGAAAACTGACATGCTAACAGTGGGGTGGGGGTGGGGGAAGAGGAAAACCAAGGGGGAAAACTGACATGCTAACAGTGGGGTGGGGGTGGGGGAAGAGGAAAACCAAGGGGGGGAAACTGACATGCTAACAGTGGGGTGAAGGGAAACCAAGGGGGGAAACTGACATGCTAACAGTGGGGTGGGGGTAGGGGAAGAGGAAAACCAAGGGGGGGGGGAAACTGACATGTTAACAGTTGGGTGAGGGGAAACCAAGGGGGGAAGCTGACATGCTAACAGTGGGGTGGGGGTGGGGGCAGAGGAAAACCAAGGGGGAAAACTGACATGCTAACAGTGGGGTGGGGGTGGGGGAAGAGGAAAACCAAGGGGGAAAACTGACATGCTAACAGTGGGGTGGGGGTGGGGGAAGAGGAAAACCAAGGGGGGGAAACTGACATGCTAACAGTGGGGTGAAGGGAAACCAAGGGGGGAAACTGACATGCTAACAGTGGGGTGGGGGTGGGGGAAGAGGAAAACCAAGGGGGGGGGGGGAAACTGACATGTTAACAGTGGGGTGAGGGGAAAGAAGTCCAAAGCTTGAACTTGTCACAACGGTCATACTATCAGCACATTAGCAAATCACCACTACCCAGGTATCCTGATGAGATTAAAGTGTGGAGCTGATATTTAGATGAAACATTATAACATTAGTGTCAACATTCTATAACTATAATAGTGTGAAAAAGTATACTAAGTATCTCCAACAATAAAAGGTTGTGTTAAGAACTGAATATTGTTCGTTCAAAACTGACAAAGAATGGCCTTTGATTGCCTGGTATGTAATTTTTGAGCTTATTTCAGTTTTTAACATTACAGTTACATGCATGTATTAAAGGAGCTGGCTTCATCACATGTTTATTTACAGAAATACTTTTTGTCACAGTAAGTGTACAAAATAAGTACAGCTGAAGTAAGTCCACTGTTCCATCATTTCACCAATTCAAATGTTCAGCTGTGAATGTATCTACATCTAGCTATTGTAAGTCTATATAAGGCTTGTAAAAATTGGGAAGTTTCCTCAGCAAAATTGAAATATCTTATGGTGGTAAATTTGATATCTTATTTCAATGTATGTATATTATAAACAGAGATTATGCTACATTCATCATTCTGTAAAGCTATGTACCTGAAGTTTCCATTAATGATTTCAGGTTTTCTGCTGATACAGTGGTACAACTACTATATATTATATCAACCAGATTATTTAATTTATAAACGGTTAATGAAGTTTTCGAAGTTCCTTAGTGTTTAGATGTGGCATTTTGTGGGTTTTATTCAGTTATTTTTAATTTTCATACCCAGAATTTTATGTGTAAAAGTTACATTAGATTTTTTTATCCAAAATTGGCATTATGGAATTTCTGAAACAAAGATTAATGATTTGAAATAATACAAATTTGAAGAAAACTTTAAATGCCCTTTACAGAAGTATGCTAGTGGCAAAATATCACTGAAGATAAGAATAATTTTGTTAATGAGAACCAGTGAATACATAGTATAAATATGACATGTCACAAAACATTATTATATCGCTGGATTACATAACCTGAATTATTTACTGTATTCAGAGTTGTGAATTTAAATTTTGAAGTGCTTTACATTTAGGCAATAAAACTGAACATCACTTAATTTATAAACTCCAAATTACCAATTTCTGTGTTTATTTTATCAAATATGTATAAAGTCTGACAGGAGAAAATGTCTTACATGTATCATTTTTCTTCTCATAAAGATTATGAAATTAAAGATAAAGAAATATGAATGTGTTGTTGTATTATCAGTTGAAACTGAACTTAAGAAACCCCGCTCTAGTTATGTGAATGTTGCTGAACTGAATTAATGTTAAGGAACAACCATGAATGGGGCCAGTGCTTTTTATCAGAAATATTCCATACAAATATAAAGATAATGCATTACAGATAAATGTTTGTATTGGTGTATGCTAAGTATGTCATTGGCTACATCGATTTGGACCTGTTCAGAGAGAAATTTGCACTCCCAATATTTGTTCCAACGGAGTCTACTTCAAAATATTTGACCAGTGACATTACTGTATTTAAGAAGCTTAACAAGCCCATGTCTGGTAATATGACAACCTTCATTTATTGCAGTCACAGTAGAAATGCAAAAAAAAGTTGCAAAGCATGGCATTATTCCCCATACCCTGCTTTTGGTGTAAAACCCAAATATAGTATATAAATATACTGGTAAAACAATCTATGACACCACTCAATTATGCACCACTATTATCACCTGAAGATTTAGCTCTAGTGCGAAATGGAACGTCTTCTTTTGTCAATTGCATCTCCTCAACTTCAATATTTTTTTATCTTATATATCAACCTTTAAGTTCAAGTTTATATCTTGATGTAGGTCCTGTGTGTTTGATATTTGAAGAGAGCTTGGTATTATTCCTGAACAAATTTATGCAACACTCTGGATCTGGAGTAATACAAGAAGTCACGAGAAATCGAAAAATTTGATGGTAAAAGAAAAAGATAAATAATAGAATGTCCTCAATAACAAAAGGCACAACTAGGGCACTAACCTAATATATACAGAAAGTTTTGCGGAGTCGAGTGGAATGGTTTTGAAGTTGTAGCCCAGAAAGGAAAGTTAACACTAATTTTGTATTTTTTGACTATATGAATAAATGAAATGTCTTCAATAGCAAAAGGCACAACTAGAGCACTAACTTAATATATACAGAAAGTTTTTTGTGAAGCTGAGTTAAATGGTTTTGAAGTTATAGTCGGAAAAGCCATCAGATGAATGGACGTATGGAGCCCAAATTAATATCCTCTGCAAATGCATTTCATTGGAGATAACAGATGCTGTAATCTTCATCATCTTGAAAGCCTTCCCCACCCCACCTCCACCCTTCTCCTACTTAAGTGTCATAATATCTATATACAATACCTCCTTGGCCTAGTATAGATAAATAATGTAACTATCTGTACAGTTTGTTGTATGTTAAGTACAGTTAAGTATCCAAAAGTTTGCTGGCCTCTTTAATCTCCACTACTATAAAATCCTGAAGAAGTCCTGGCCCTTTCAGCTTTTCAAAAGATTTTAAAAGCATTTGACCCTGTGACCTTGAAAAAGGACCGAGGTGCTTCCTAGCATGCTTCTGGATGGCATGCAACAGATCTCCCATATATTGTCCACTGAGGTGGCCACCAACTACAAGGAGATCCCATCTCAAAATGACACCGGGTGTTTACTTAGTGATAAATCAAACAAACAAAATACAAAATAATTGGAGAATGTCAAATATTTTATTGAAATTTTTAATCGCCTATAATATGAACACATGTTAAATAAAGTAAATTACAATATACTCATAGGACTATGTCCATCAGATTAAAAATTCCACTATCTACCATATACTAGGCTGTGGCACATTTTATGCACCTTGACTGTTTGTCAATTCAGATTCTATCAAAATCAAGCACTGCAATTCACAACCTACCCAAACATTATCTGGACCAGGAATTTAATCTATTCTAGAGCTATGTAATTTATTTACAATATAATTCAAATAGAAAATATTTCTGAGCATATTATAAGATTGTCAAATAAAAATTACTTCCAAAGAGAAAAATCTTACCCTTGTTATATGTACGTACAAAATTATGTTAGCCAGAGTTTCCACTGATCCAAGTTTGTACACATGATGTTTCAAGACATATACACATCAAACATCATTCTGTCAAATCATCTGTAGATATTTGGTGTTCAAGCCACATGAAACATTGGCTAAATGTACATTTGGGATTTACAAGTATCTAAAAAGGTAAAAAAAAATGAAGACCAGGAACTGTTCAAAAATGTAGAATGTATGTTTTCCCAAAAGATGAAGGTTGATTGGAACAAAAGAAATAAGTGCCACAAAACATGTACCTGCCATCCCTTGTACTAATATTTCATTTCGTACATAATGCAATGAAAATTAAATGAAACTGATGCCACACCAGGTTTGAACTTTTCAAAATAAAAAAGTGAAATCTATCTATGATAATGCAACAAAAAGGAATTTGCTAACTTGCTTCTTTTTTGAGAAGGAAAACTTCTGGAGGGAAAAATAAATATTTTGCTTCAGTGAATGAAAGTTTAAGCTGTAAGAGTCCCAAACACCTCTATCATTGAACCTACCAGAAACCATGAAGGGCATTTGATTCTACCATATATGACTGTTGAGAAGATTTTGGAAATTTGAGTCAATTTGACCCTTCTGGCCACCACCCATCAGCCCCTAGGAGTCAGCCAGAATCAAGCCATCATCCTTTGTTCATAATTCTAACCAAGTTTGAAATCGAACAAATAATTCACAATTTTGGTAAAGCATCTTAAGGTTCTTCCATCTATGAAGAGCATTAGATTTTACCATATCTTAGTGTACAGCAAAAAGATTTTTGAAATTCCAGTCAAATTTACCCTTTTCGCCCTGTCCTGCAGGCCCCTATGGGGTGGGGACCATATAATTCACTGTTATATTAGGCCAAGGGAGATTTCTGCAAAATTTCCTTAAAATTGGTTTCTTGGGTTTTTGAGAAGAAGTTGATAATATTAAATTGTTCACAGACACATGTCTCCTCACAAAGGTGATCACAATAGGTCACCATGAGACTTTGTTGACCTAAAAAAGGCTAATGTAACATGTATTATAATTTTTTAAACAGAAATTCAAATACATGTAAACCCATTGATAATGCAGACAGACTACATGGCAAAGGTAAATAGATTGTAATTATAAAACAGAATTTATTCAGTATGAAATTTGGCAATTTTCCATATGGACTTATATGTGGCATAAATGTATTTAAGAAAAAAAACACCTTTCTCTTTAATAGAGATAGATATAGTAGGACTTAAACTGGTACACAAACCAGGTACTACATAGCAGGTACTTTAACATTTCATAAACAACTTTATCCACCATCAAAAACAAAAAAACCAATGTAAGTTCTATCACAGACAATGACTACGGCCCATTATATTTACAAAACCAAGAAAAAAACTCTTTTCTTTTCGTCATTTTTTACATTGACTTCAACTCAAACGTCTCATTATGATGTGCTATTGAGTGCTTTAAGCTTCTTGAATTCTTTAAGCTTATAATAATAAATAGTAAATAGAATTCTAAAATTGAAAACAAACTGTATGTAGTAAATCTCTATATCACTGTAATGCCAGTTGTTTGAATTTCTAAAACAACCAAAATTATTTAAATTTACAAAAAATGCTGACTAAAGCATCACATATCCATCACATATACAAATACATTATAGACAAGAAAACTAACACCAGCAGTTCTAAATATTTACATTGCAAGCTTAAATGCAAGATATTATGCATGTTTATGGTTGCCAATCGGAAAAAATATACAAGTATCTTCAAAATCCAAGAATTCATGCCTTCCTGGAAATTATATCCCTCACACCTTTGGATATAACATTATTAAACCAAAGGCTTTGTTTACTACATGTTACCAAAGTTTGCAAAAGTTGCAATTTAACAGAATTTGTTCAAATGTTTCTATCCATATGGCCACAACAACTTGGTCAGTCAACAGGGCATCAAACTTTCTAGTCCAAGGTGAATCTGAGGTTTGCAATTCAATTGTCTCTATTTAGGACAGTTTGTAATTCTCAGAAAGATCAGGTCATGAAGAGGCCATTGTGCCATGGTGACATGTGTCCTCCAGAAAGACACTGCACTTGCTTGGGGTAGAATGCAATGAGTCCATCTCAAAATGGTCGTGGCTGTTCATGGGTTGATTAACACAACAAACAAGAAAAATTACATGCATGTATGTGATTTCTTTGTACAACAACCTACTTTGTGAGCAGCTCATATTTTATCTCCAATGATATTTTAGGAAAGACATTTCGTTCTTTTATGTCAAAAATCTTCAAATGGTTAAATGGTGTTTACCAGTGACTGTTGCATGTGCTATGACTTTATCATTCCAAAGGTGCAGACAAGATATAAATCTATAAAAAAGTGAACTTGGACTTAAAAGATATTGTATCAATTAATTTTATAATCAATGTGACCATATATACACCACCTTTAGCAAATATTGTTTTGTTTATGCGACCCCACTATTTACAAATATGTTTGACCTCAACATGTGCATTCATACACTATGAATTCTAAAAATGCTTCCTTCTCTCCCTACATTAAACTTTATATACACTTGAACCACAATGTATTCATATTTAAAATGCATGTTTGTAAACTTACTCTATGAAATTTTATCTATAAAGTTTCAAATTTTCATACAGTGCAACAATACCTCAGCAACAGATGTGTCCAGTTTTGAAAAACGTTGTTAAAAAACTTTCTTTACATTTGAAGTTTATCAAAACATTGTATACAGTAAACAATAATTTTCACAAATCAATGTGATGTTTACAATCCTAAGTGATGATTCCAGTATAAAATCAATTATCATTATCATGTTTAAGTTTTTGAAAGAACATCTCAACTAATGAGTTGACCATGTATCTATGAATTCTACATATAGATATAAAATCTATGTATATTGGGTACTTTTTTGTATTCAACATTATGCACCCATGCCATACCTATGTAATAAACCTATGTTAATCTAATTACTATTAAAAACCTCAGCAGAAATGCTTCACCAGTATATATATGGATAACATTTTCATCATGGTCAATAAGTATATCTCCAGTAAATCTCAACTTGTTTTAGACATACTGGCTTATTACTGGACAATGCACATGTCACTACTAGGTACTGTACACTTAACTTAAATACTGTATACAACTAAAGTTATCAAATTTCATCAGGTTAATATTTAATGATCAACTCAGTATGGACTAGATCAAGTTTTCTGGATGTCTATACAGCTATACATTGATAAAAATATTTTCTTAAATTTTCATTCTCTTTTAAATGTTGGTTGGATATCTTATTTTTACACTATCTTTAATGATTGCAAATATAGCAAAACCAGAACACCCACAAATATTACCAACTTTTGAGTTCAGTACTGAGAAGTACTGGGAATTACATAGCCTACAATATATGAAAGACTGGTTGAAAGATTTGATTAAAAACACTTTTAACTGTACCATTTTCAGACAATAATTCTAACACAATCCAAAATATTTACTAGTAGTGATCTAGACAAACACCCTTAAGTACATGTACATGTTGAGGACTATAGTCAGAGTTGTAAAAATACATTAAAGATATTTTATAACATATATACATATGTATGTGTTTCATAAACACAGGAAAAATGTACAGCATCAGAATTAAATACTTAGTATATAATTTATATGAGATCTGTTTTTTAAGCACAGTTTTCAGAGCACTAGGAATTCATCCCAAGAAGCCTGCTAGTATATACAGGTCTCTAATCATCAGCCAGTATTAACATCTGTATCACAGGTAATATCTAGTAATATCAAAAATTCTTTTGATAATAATACACCACTATAATAGGTATATGAGAATAGTTGTATTTTGATGTCATGGTGATCAATTAAATATGCAGGGATTCAAAGTTCCGAATTTCAAATTTCTGAAAGGGGAATAAATGTGTAAAAGTACAAAAACACAGCTTTTAGTACTTAGACAGCACAGTTTGTATGATATCAAGTACAATGAGAGTTCAAAAGTAGAATTTTGAAGGTAAATACAATGTAGCAAAATCTGTCTTCTAAGAAAATCAGGCAAAATCTATAACCATATCAAATGTTATTTAACACATTCAAGATATCTTCATATAATCAAACACCATTTAATAGTTAGATTAATGTAAAGCATTACAGCAAAAATGAGTACTTCATACACCGGACAGACAAGCAGTAATTATCAATCAAACTATAAACCAAACTAGTACAAGTTATGAACTAAACGCCGGAAACTTCTAGCATAAGCTCGTCTTGATAAGTAATCAAAAATTCCATGATGATGTTTCACTTCATGAAGATATCAAACGTATAGTATTAATTTTACAATCCATAGACCAATGTAATTAAAGTTTGTTTGATTAGAAATATTCCCGACAGGTGTAGATCCTTCATCCTGATTTGCTTGGCCAATGCAACGGTGACTGGTGATATTACAAAATTAAATCTTTAATCCTCACCACTTGAATCAGATGGAGAATACAAACTCTCTCCAAGTTCATAATCAAATGGACCAGATAGGGGTGGAAACATCTGACCACTGACAGGCTGTTGGTCAACCATGTTAATTGACTGACCTCTCGATGAAATCATCTGTGACCTTTGCTGTGATTGATCACGTCCAACAACTGTCTGGTTTGATAAAGCCTGTGATGAATCTAATTCATCCAGTGAGAGATGTTCAAAGTGAAGCGATAAATCCTGCTGTGATCCTGATGTGCTGTTTGGAGGACTATCCGCTGGGGTTTGTGGTGTCTGTGGGGTGTTATTGGGGGCAGGGGGAGATAATATTGCATCATCGTGTCCAGTATCTGTCGGAGTGACAACATTGAGGACACCTGACCTTGACCTTGGCTGTTCTACACCCTCAGCCCCAGGTCTTTCATTTGTGTTCTGGTTAACATATTTAAGTCCAGCGACGCCCTTCACACCCTCAATGTTGCTTTCATCACGTTTTATATTTCTTTTCCTGGTCCTATCATTCCTGCGAAATTGAACCATATTTTCAAGATCAATAACATATAAAAACCCAGCAATCAACAGCTCAAATAATTTGTCACCATTCTTGTGTTTTATCTCAAGTTCCTGACTAGTGCGGTCGTCATACTGCCACCATCCATTCCTGCCTTCATAAAACCACTGATATTTTTCATCAAATGTGATAGTTTTCTCTAAGTCTTGTTGTCTTATCAGTTTGGGCTTCTGAAAGAACTCTGGTACAATTTCTTGTCTACACAAGGCACATCGCTTACTTCGATGGGCTGCGCCCTTCACACATAAGAAGCAGAATATATGCTGACAGGGAAGCTGAACCGGATGTATACTGGGCTGTAGACATACTGAACACTCAATGACAGTATCTGAAACAAAAAGGAATTTCATTATCGTAATGATGAAAAAAGTTTTGTAATTGTCACTAATACACTAATAATGACTATAAAATACTGTATACAATATAATGGGATATTACATACATCAATATTTTGTAGCTATTTTCAACAAGTCAGTGGAAATTGATACAATTTTAGGACTTATGAGCATAATCAAGTTATAAAGACTCTGTATGTAGAGAATGATATGACATGCACAATGTAAGGTAAAACGAACTCTAAAGTAAAACTTTTGTAACTGTTACTTGGCCTGATGTATCAAACATTTCTGGACACAAGAACTTAGATATTCCTTAGATTTCTAAAGTTGCACATGTAAAACAAATCTCTTTCTTTATAGAAAAAGGTTGGTCTACACTCACACCACTAAATCAAATATCACTGTCTATATGAACACATTTTTTACATACATTAGAAATTGATAAAGATTGATTTCAACTTCACAAGTAGCAAGTTTTTTTTATTTCTTTCAAACAGTTAATATATAACAATCACTTCACGAGTTCCTGATTAAAATTAGTTTGAATTATTCTGATGTTCTTGGAACATTTGTATATAAGTATGGCACCGATGAAAATCAGAGCTCTAGATCTGGCATCTAGATACAAACTGTGAGCCAGACCCTTACATGAAAACTGACAGAATATCAGAATAATTTGTACTAGATCATATGAAACAACTTGAAATCATATCAATCATATGTATTTATTCTTTTCTGATGCTGCACATGTCTGTTAACATTTCTACAACTATTTTTAGATTGTTGAATTAGACAAGAATGAGAAACTACATGCGAGATATCTCATAATACTGTTCGGTCAAAAAAAAAAACAGCACTTTTTGTAATACAGTTTCCAGTTGTTTTTACAAATGTAAACAAGGAAAGGAGATGACCAGGCCAGCATCCTAATAAAACCAAGACACATTAATTAGAGGTTTGGGAAGATCATTATTGATCACTGATGAAGAATTTTCTGTATGTATTTTGTGACAGAACTTCTTTATTTCAATTTACCGTGATACCTACCATTTCGGCCCCAAAATACAAATATATACACCTTTACACATGTGTCAAGCTATGAGATCACAGGGATGTCAGTAGGTGAGGGGGTAAAATGGACTTGAAGATAGTCGGTGATTTGGTGTAGGTTATGCTTCTTTCGAGTTCAATTTTAAAACACCATATTGAGGAAATGTATAAGGACAAATTTGAAAAAAAATGTCAATGAATAAAATGCGAAAGTCTGATCAGATGGTTCATTGATGCATTAGTTATCTTTAAGAGATCTGAATGGAAAGTTGTCTTTTTTTAAGTTCCTAAATTTGATATGTACATTAACACATGTTTACTTCATAAAATAATTGGATTGAGTAAAGCACCAAAATAACAAAATGATCTCCCCAAACCTCTAATTAATGCAACTATTCAAGAAAAATTATGTCACAAATACCACATATTTATTCACAATGTTTCCAGCTTGACATAATTGCAGGCTGAAATACAAGTTGTTGTTCATTATGAGTTTACACTTTGGTAACGGAGTATTTGTTCCGATAGTATATTTGAATTATTAAGAATTGGGTGGCTGGTATAATTTTTGTTATTTTTACTGAAATTTTAATAAGTTGTTGGTTTGTGTTGTATAAATTAAGGATAAGTCATAATTTCTAGAGATCAATGGGATAATACAAAAGTATAATATTTACAATCATTAAATTCATGATTAATCTAGGTAGCATTTGTATGTGTGTTCAGACACTCGCATACAGTACATGGTTTGTCTACAAAAAGGATAAAACCTTAAAATTAAAATTGTAAAAAAATAATTTATTAGAAAAATAAATGATTTAAATATAACCTACAGAAGTAAGTGACAATGGAATATATCACATAAGTTGCTAAAAAGCTTGTATATTGAACACACGATGGAAACTTCCTTGTATATTCTATTGGATTTCTATTGGACTGTTTTGATTGCATTGAACTTGTGATGTAACAGATGTGGCCATGAGCTACCCATATCTGAACTTACGGGGATGTTTGCACTTTCTCTGTCTTTTATTCTATAATACAGGGTATTTTATAGCTAAATATAGCAATACACTCAGGATATACTAACAGCCTTTCAAGGCCATGATCCAGCTGAGTGAGCAATGCGAGCATGCTTCTTTGACTCAGCTGGAAAAGACGGCTGAAAAACCAAGCCAGCTACCTGGGTTTAATTTCTAGGACACTTAACAGGAATGTGTTTTCCCCAGTTCTTTCACAGTGAAGCCAAACAAATTCCACAGGCTGTGGTATTTGGAGTCTAAGGGAAAACAGTATGAGTAGTGCTAAAGGAGCAGGTTGGTGTGGCTTGTACTTGTGTGGCTCTTGTCACTCAGCTGATGGAGCATGCTTCTTTGGCTCAACTGGTAGAGTCAGTTGATTACTCTGCACAAGACAAAGGTTAGATTCCTTGTCGGGGCACTTGACAAGAATGCCTACTGTCCTTTCACATATTTAATTTGTCTGTTATGTTGTGTGGGACCACCTGCAGTGAGCACAGATATCAGCCTCGTCAGTCAGTATACTCATCATAATAGTATGAGTGTGCATGTATTGACAGACGAGTCTGATTCATGTGGCAGTTAATCCCTTTTACAATCCATCCTTGGAACTCATCTATATCGAACATTTGACAATGTCCCTCGTCGGTCTCAAGGAGAAATCCCTAAAGGTGAAAACTGTGACAGTGTGCTAATGAAGACGTGAAATTCTCACGTTTTAATTAACTTTTCGAGCGACACATAAATGACTTAAAACTGTTGCTGTTACGTAATGGTAAATGAAATATTTGCTGTAGAGTGACTGTCAAACTGAATTGCCAATTTAAATAATATTCTTCTGTGTTTTACCGTGGACATTTTCTTTCGGGTCTTTGTCCAATAATTTTGAGTGGATGGCTTCTTTTTCAACAATGTCTTTTTCGGTCGTCATTTTCGAGGCAGAGTGTTGTCCCTCCTGGGCGCCAACAAGGGTGGAGATCCTACTCATCCGATTCCTGACATCAAAGACTGATTCATTCTTATCCATCACAAACTTGGACCTCTCATACTAGGTCATTTACAAAGATTTTCATGCATTACTATTTTCTTCCGTCACTAATGAGGTCAATGGCAGCCACGACCTTCACCTTGAGCAAGAGACTAACTTATTAAGTTAGTTTCGGATGATCTTATACGTAATGTGAGTTTATTAATCATAGGTATTTACATGGAAAATAAGAACAACTAGAATCAACATACAATTAAAAAGTATATTTTATTGAAAATGTGTTCATCAAATCAGAAAATAAATTCGAAACTAAACTAAAAATTATAATTACTAAACCTACGAATGTGAGGATTTTCCGGATTGTTGGTAATTCACTTTCAGATGTCTTCAGGCAATGTAGTTTTGAAAACAGTCATAACAAATAAATCATTTAAGGGATTCTTTTAAATCATTGTCGCCTCAACTGATATGATTTTAAACTGTTGAGTGCATGCATTCACAAAAAAACTACAGAAAAAGAGTAATTGCAAAGCCGAAAGACACCCCAAAAGTTATTTTCATAAATTGGAAAAATAAAGATTTTAAACAAGAATATATCAACAGAAAGAGTTTTGTGTGTTGTTATGCAAAATCAGTTGCACGTATTTAGGTAACATTTTTTGTTGACTTGGTTTACCGAACAACTGTGATGAAGAGTCCAGTCTTATACCATCTAGTTAAATTTTCTTGCCTAACAACAAAACCACCACAACATAGGAAGGACCAATTTCATTGTAAGTCAGCAATGAATCAGATCTTCACATTAAAACGGCTCTGGATTATCTTATCATAATACAACGATTAGTCTATACAGAGACGTATATATCGTATGTGATATACACGTCTCTGGTCTATAGATGCAATGCATTTAGTTCACTTCAACATGTGAAACATTAACGCCCTTGTCTTTAAAACATTATATTGGATCTTTTGTGATTTTTACTGAAGAAGTCTTAGGTCTTAAGAATGAATTTGGTTAGTCACTCAATCACATACAGATTTAAATTGACATAAAAAAAAGTTTATATATTGTGACAACTATTACTATCACAAGGGAGTCGACATACACTCCTTGTACTTGACAAATTGTTGTCCCTACAAGGCCCTGGGAGTCTGGTAACGACCCCAAATCAGGTGTTTTAAAACAATGGAAACAATTTTTTTTTTAAATTCTAAGAGACCACATGCCTGTTTTTGAAAATATGGTAGAACTCATACAAAGCAGTTGGAGAGCAGAATATAGATTCGTCAAAATGCTGATGAACGCTTTCGACCTCCTAAGCCCCGACCCTAAGTATATAGTCCCATTCCATATACAACTACTTCCACAGGTTTGTTGTCCACTGAAAGGCCGAAGCCCGCCAGATTAACAAATAAATAAATCCTTGTCTGAGATCATTTCTAGCATATCTTATCGCCTCGTTCTAGGTGATGTGACAAGCTCGCCATGGTCAGTAATTTCGAGGTACACAAAATGGTTCCATGTTGTGGTAGTAATAATTGTTGCTAAGTTATTCAAACGAGTCGTTTTAAAACGATTTGAGTGTGAAAAAATACTGAAACCAGTCATAAATAATGTGACCGTGACCTACTTTATCAGTTGTTTTAATCAAACTTCTCAAATGAATACTTGACTTTTTTCCACAGAAAATACGAAAACTATGATTTTCGTTCCATTATTAAGTTTGTAAGAACTTTAACAACACAAGGAGAGTAGGAGGTGGGTTATACTCACTGAATGGGACAAAATGAAATTTAAGAATGAAAACATGATAACAAGGGACAATAATTCCTAAGTGATGGAAAGAGAGTTATGGTTCCTGTGCATTGTACTTCTCCTCGTCAAGATCCACTTCCTATGAAGTTTATGTTAATACTTTTTATAACTTTTGTGATAGGCCCTGGAAAAAACTATGACGGACGGACAAAACGTCGACTATATGAAAGTGTATTGGTTTGTTTGAATGTATGTCTTTATGTATTTGTCAACATTTCTAGCCAGTGTTTATGTTATATAAATGTACATGTTTGGTGAACACTGTGAATGTCCGTGAATTACAATATCGGAGATTATAACCAGGTATAATATTTACGCGCACTTGCTGTGGTAGGATTACATCTGTAAAATAATAAGTTAAGTACATGACATAAAAAATCATTCAAAATACGCGATTTATTATTTTCTAAACAGCAAACTCAAAATTTGTTAGGATAATAGTGATGATATTTGATGATGTCTTGTCAACAATTTTCAACGTGCTCATTTTGCTAAAATCAGAAAAATTGAAATATGATAAACAGCGCCGCTGAGAAGTTCACTATAATCGGCCGTTCTCCAGCACATAGGTACTAATGTTTATATGAAAATTCAGCTGGGCAGGTTTTATACCCACATGAACATCAACTGATAAGGAACCTATATCAAAAGCTCTCATACTTAAAGTCTAACATTTACAATTTTCTTCGTCTTGTCATGTGAGTTGTTTATGGTTGAGGTATCGTAAATCCGGAACAATAGATCCGTATCCGGGTTAGAAACGAATTTTACTCACTTCTTCTCGCACATGCTGGCGACAAAATGGCGGAATTCGACTTAACCACACGAATGGGACAATATTTAGACCGACATCTGGTCTTTCCATTGTTAGAATTCCTATCGGTTAAAGAGGTAATATACCGATAAGGTTATTGATGCTTCCTGAATGGTTATATTCGATAGTTTTGCTTTAGTTTTCACCAGAAACGAATTATTTTGTGAGCCGGTAGTACACAAAACCTCGAGGTTTTGATCACGAGCTTCAATAAGGAACGATTACTATTGGCGATCTTTTGAGGCTCCCTACGCCGGTGAAGTGATCGACAATACGCCATATATATGCTTTATTATAATAAGTAGTCGTTTTGGTTTGGTTTGGACAGGTTGGAAATAATAGGAAAAAAGTCCAAGCATTAAGAGTGGGGGGATGACATATACGACGCAATTCCAGTTGGAGTACTTCTTTTAAATAGATCTACAAGTATGTCGAAGTCTGTTAATATATGCAATATCCATACACAGTAATTAGTCTGCTTACGAGACAAATAACACATACTTTCTAGATAGTGCAATTTAAAATATGGAAATTGGCCATGCATATGCTAGATAAAGGAATTGTCCTGTTATTTCTTTTTTCTTTGTTTTTTTCCCGACGTTGTGAGATGTATTGTAGATAAATCAATGACTACACAAGTCTTACAGAAGGCCCCTCATCGAATTGGCAAATTCACAAGCTAGGGTAAAAAATTATTCTCCCATAATGATATATCATCAATGACTGGGTCGTTATGTAAAGGAGCAAGTTAGTGTGGAAATGCAGTCTCTTTTACTCAACTCACAGAGCAAGCTTCTTTGGTGCACTTGTCAGGATTATGTTTATGTGTTCTTTTACATTGGCATGCAACAAAGACATCCTGAATCCTTTTTATATGACAGGGCTATGGTATTCAAAAGTGTCAGTTGAGGGAAAAGCATTTGGGGAACGGGTTGGTGTAGCTAAGATTGTAGTGTTAAATATAGTCATTCACTCTGACATGGATGCTAATGAGGGAAATCCATTAATTATAATATCAACTTTCATTAATTGTGCCTATTTTTTTATATTGACTGACAAGTTAAAGGAGTCTGCATGAAATCTCTAACACTATTGGAGAAGGTAGTAGATTAACTGGATATGTAATTACAATATTTAATTTCATTAAAAAATTACATTACAAGCTAAAAGCACAATTTATTTATTAGCCCAAAATTTTAGCAGTTATTTTTCTATTGCAGCTGTATGATGAAAAAGAAATGCTGAAAGGAAAGCTGGATTTACTCAGCAACACCAACATGGTGGATTTTGCTATGGATGTCCACAAAAATCTTTATCCTGAGCAAGATGTACCATCAAGTAAGTAGTTGATTTTTCTTGCTCGAATGTGGAATTGTTTATTCTTTGACTTGTATGAAATGCTAATGACAGGCAAAAGTAATCAGTATTTTCATCAAAGAATATTTGGTTTCAAACATTATCTGCTAAGGAATCTTTAATTTTACTTTACTTGAACTTGAAGTATGCATAAATACAAATCATTTTAGCACAGAAAAAATAAGATTATTTCTATCTGCTTTAAGATGTTTCGTTTTTCTGAATTGAAGGAAAAATCCAAATATCTTCTCAATTTCAAAGAAAATGTTACATATGCCTATGAATAAGCAGCTATCAGATTCAGGTTGAAAAAACACTAAGTATTGTGGTACAAATATAGTTTCAACAAATGTATCCTTGGCAATAGACCGTGATATCAGGCTTCAAAAAACATTTTTTGTTAGATTTGAAGGACAAAAGACAGAGCGTTGTGGCTCAACTCAAAAGTCTACAGGCAGAGACCGAAATGATCACCAAAATATTTGAAGATCCAGAAGTTGTTCGCCAGATGCAGAGCTCCAGGTTAGTCAAAATTTAATGAAGATAATCTTTTGTGATTACTGCAATATAAGTTAAACCTAGACTTGATATGGAAATTTGTTAACAAGTTTTTGACTTTTCAAACTTAGGGTTTAACAAATTTAATTGTGTTCTCTTATGAATTATGGGACCTTTATGAAGCTTTTAAATTAAAGGTGTAGTTAATAGTTATTTATTTTTCCTCCAGGGATGGAAGACAGTTATTTGAATTTCTAAATAAAGATTATGGGGTAAGTATGTTTATTTGTATTGAAATAATTCAAGCATACAGAAAGAACATAAGTTTTAGTAAAAAAAAATGGCTGGAAAAAAGACCAAATCAAATTGCAATCAGAAAAGTTAAAATTTAAAAAGTGAAATATATTAGTGCTTTTCATTTTCTTTGTTTACATGATCAAAAGCAATAATTTCAAATTTGCAAATATTTTTATTAAGATGAGATATTTAGAGAAATCTTGTCAGTGATACCTGGAGAAGTACATGTTGGGTTATATTACATTTTCAGTTCGAAGCCAGGATGGTGGACACATTGTATGAGTATGCCAAGTTCCAATATGAGTGTGGAAATTACTCAGGGGCAGCCGAATACCTTTATTTCGTCAGAGTATTAGTAAGTTATTAAAAAAAAAGTTGATCAGATTTAAACCTTAACACTTTCCATGAAAAACCATAAGCATAGCATAAGGCTTGTAAGGCATGTCCAAATTTGACAGTAAGTGATATGCATCTGCCTTACAGTTACCCTCCACTGACAAGAATTTCCTGGACACACTGTGGGGAAAGCTGGCATCAGAAATCCTTATGCAGAACTGGGAGACTGCCCTTGATGATCTTACAAAGCTGAAAGACATCATAGACAATAATGTAAGTCAGGAGGACACATGATCACATTATTTTCAGTGTGTTGAATGTGTTTAGTATTGCAGGATTTATGCAGTCATTGAAAAGGTCATATTTGTTTATTAATCCTTGATTAACCATTAACATATGGAAAGGACTAATTATGTTGTTGTTTTACTGTTAATAAACACATATATTGCCACCAAAAATATGTATATGTAATGATATTAGCTTTTCAAACATTATATCACAATTCTTGATTAATTTTAGTATGGAATATATATTGTTGAATGAATGTGCAAAATTATTGGAATTGTTTCTTGTGATATACTGTCAAACTATTTTTATAATCAATCTTGTAGACTTTTGGATCAGCACTACAGAATTTGCAGCAGAGGACGTGGTTGATACACTGGAGTCTGTTTGTCTTTTTCAACCATCCCAAAGGTCGTGACCTTATCATAGATATGTTCCTGTACCAACCTCTGTAAGTTTAAAAGTAAAAAGTATACATTGTTTTGATAAGATTGAGGCTATTGCTGTTAAGCAAAATTTTTTATTTGCTATTTATTACAAGGTGATTTCTTTTTTTTTTTTATTTGAAACTAATGCTTGATTCCTTGTATAGGTATCTGAATGCCATACAGACCACCAGTCCACATATACTCCGATATCTAACCACTGCTGTAATCACCAACAAAGGACGAAGGAGGGCCGTCCTTAAAGATCTGGTCAAGGTCATTCAACAGGTATGTTACTACTCGGATCAAGTCTAGCCAGTGTTATAACCTATAGATAGAGTTATTTTACTCCAGTACATATCCCAGGGAAGGAGTGCTAAGATGATGAAATTGACCTCTGTTGATGGTCTGTGTTTGATAAAGGTTTACATGGCAGGTGTAGTCGATGAAGCAAAAGACACTATCGGAACACCTTGTCCCTGTACTTTTTCAGGAATCTCTGTGTTAATCTTTCTTTTCTTTATATTTTGCCTCAATTTTATGGAATTTGAGTTTGGATTTTAAGTGTGTTGACATTTTCTTTACCTTTAGTCTTCTACTCCGGAAATTTTTCAACTTGATTAGTCCTTAGTTATATATCATCAACACACATGCAACATCTTTGCTAAATATTTGTATATCACGCCACAAAATATGTTTAATACTCTATTTGTATTTGTCTACATTAAATATACCATGATCTTGGAGAAAATGCTTCTGTGACCAGTTAATTTTTAGTGTCCGAGTAAATAAAGAAACTTGTATTTATAGCAAATTTTAGTATGCAGCATACTAAAGATGATAATTTACAGTTTGTGAATTGAAAAATAAAACTGGCATATAGCAGTTGGAGATTGAAGGTTTTATTTTATCAAATGCACCGTTGAAACATACTCCATCATTCTTGATAATCAAGGGGTTTCCCTCATTATCACTCTCTGCACCCCCGGAACATGTCACGGCAAAATGAAGGTTACCTACGGGACACCTTGTTGTCAAGACAGAAAATTAGCTCGATTATTTGATGTACATCAAATAAATCTCAATGTCGCATAACAGTACCGTTACATTGTAATGGCTTCAAAGTTGAGTGTTGCTCTTTTGTGATCTTCAAAAGGAGTCTTATCAGTCAGTGATTGGTCATTTTTTTGCTTCTGGAACCAATGAAATTATTACACTTGTGCCTTCAGTTTTGCCATGACATGTTTCAAGGGTGCAGAGAGCAAAATTGATTGTAGCCCCTGGAGTATTGAAGATGGTTCTCCAGATAAAGATATCTATAGAAGAGGTGGCCTCCCTTTAGTTGAAAACTTCCTGTTTTCTTTAAATGGGAGATGTTAGTAATAGCAATGTCTGCATTATCATTTTGTTCTGCTTGTCTGTTTCAGGAATCATATACCTACCAGGATCCCATTACCGAGTTTGTAGAATGTCTGTATGTCAACTTTGACTTTGACGGTGCCCAACAGAAACTCCGAGACTGTGAAGAGGTAAATATAGTTTTTATTATAGCCATCTTAATATGATATTATAAATTGCATTTTCTGAAAGTAAGTGCTGTCCACATAGGATCTTTCAGTGTTGTTTTAATATTCAGAATATACACATGTATTTGACCTTCTTTTGAAATGATCAGATATACTGAAAATATAAAATTATTGATTTTTTGGGCTGGTGTATCGCCCATCTAGATTTTGATATTTCTTTTGAGTAATATTTTTTTCCTTCATTCACCTCCAAGGTTTCAAAATAAAGGCTCTTAGCATCACTGATAAGTCCTAGAAGGACAAAGCCACAGTATGATGCATTTTAGTTCATTATTTAGTAAACATTTAAATGCTATTTACATGAGTTTACAATCCAAATAAATTAATCATGGCTGACTCTAAATGGATAACTGACTCAAGTATCTGTAGGAAATATTTGACAGTCTTCGTCAAAATGTCCTAAAAAATTTTAATTTAATAATGACATATATATGTTTTGTCTACTCACATTTTTAGTCTCATTAAGATTCTTGTAATATCAGGATTCTAAAGTCAGTGAGAGAAATTAAACATGGAACACATGTACATCTGGTGATAATACTCAGAAATTACTCAACAGTGATTCCTCTGAATCATAGATTAGATATGTGTTTTTAATATGAGTAAAAAGAACAGTAACTGAAAAATAATTTGTTTTTCTCACGTTGAAGTTCCTTGCTTCTATTTTAATTGGAGAAATTAATGGTGGCTTATTTCAGGTGTTGGTAAATGATTTCTTCCTTGTTGCTTGTCTGGACGACTTCATTGAAAATGCAAGATTGCTGATATTTGAGACCTTCTGTCGGATACACGAGTGCATCAGCATAAAGTAAGTGTTTCCAGTTGACAGCAACCAAATGAACTGGTGTTCATTAAATGCAAAGAAAGAGGAAATATCAGTTTTGAAAGAAACATTTAGAATGTACATTAGTTTTAGCTGTATTGTTACATATTCTGATATTGAATAGGAATATTTTGCAAATTAATCATGATTATGTTTACAGCATGTTAGCAGAGAAGTTAAACATGACGTCAGAGGATGCAGAGAGATGGATCGTAAACTTGATCAGAAATGCTAGACTTGATGCCAAGATTGACTCGAAGCTGGTAAGTCTGATTTAATCACTTGCTATTGTGTTTATATTGATGAATATATCCCCAAGACATTTGGAAATTGACATTGATATTGAATTCTTAATCAAATGTTCAAATATCACATTTATCAGCTGAAAGGTTTAAGTGGCTTTATAGTACACTTTCTGGTATACCTCTATAGGGGACTATTTTGTTTGCATATATCATATCATTGTATTTGACCAGTTCACTTAACACATCCTTGTTCATATCAGTAATTCTTTTTATTCAAATGCACCATTAGTAAGAATAAAGCTTAATTAATATGTTGACTCTAGATTAACTATTGCAAGCTGTAGCATTTCATGGGAGGTAAATTTTTGAGTTTACAATTTTGTGAAAAAAATCTTGTAAAAATCAAACTGTGTTTGATAAATTCAAACAATTGGAAGATGATGTGTTAACAGGTGGTTTCTACTGTGTAAGAAGAAATACTGAAAAAATATTAGCAATGAGCAATATAATGATTAATAGTTCTTTATCTTTTTGTGGTGCAATTTCAAGAAAAAATAATTATCCTTTTTTCCAAAATTCAGAGCTGATAACAAGGTTGTCAAAAATCTTGCATGAAAATCAATGTTTTGTCAATGATCTCTGAAGCTATGTCACGAGAGTTTTTTTTCATAATATAAGGAGATGGCATTATAAAGATTTGTTTAATTCCAGTATTAAGACGAAAAGGCCCAGTAAATAAACTGTGATGAATCGTGATTATTTTAGTATAAATGAAGGACCATTTTCATTATGAAATTTTTCCGACTTTTAACCATGTATTTTATCTACAGGGGCATGTTGTCATGGGAACACAGGCTGTGTCACCATACCAACAGGTTATAGAGAAGACAAAAGGTCTGGCCTTCAGATCACAAATGATGGCTATGAATATTGAGAAGAAGCTTGGACTCCGTACTGATAGTGTAAGTTATTTGTAAACACAAAATACATTTTGAATCCAAGGGATGATGACATCATAGTTTTTATTTTTTGGTGTTGATGGCAGGAAAGCTGTAGAGATATAATAGCTCATTTGGTATAGTATCAGATTTGAATCTCAGCTAAGACTGGTGATGCATGTTTCTATCCTTCCCCATGGTAGTGTGTCCTATCTCTGGTAGATAAGATTACAGACCATTCTATGCTGTTGTAATGGCATTCTTGGGCAAGGCACTCTACTCCATTGCTCATTATAAAGTGTGGTAGGCCTTCTGCATGATGTTCAGTGAGATGCACATTATTACAAGGATGTCTGACCTTAAAGCAATACAATAGCTAACAGAAAAGCATGAGAACACCAGAGTAAGAAAGTTTTCAGTAACTTTATTTAGAGATAAGGAGTGAGGTGATTTTTTCCTGGATTTCAATATTTGTACATGTTTCTTTATTTGTTTTCCAGATGCCACAGTGGGATAAATCTGCAGAGAGTTAATAGATACGTCACTTAGTTCTTAAAAACTTTCTTACGCCAGTCGCAGCATAAAGACTTACACAACCTCGGTCGCAGTCAGAGAGGAGTTATTCTGTTTACTGTCAAGACAGTGAATTTGGACATTAATATGAAGTGCTCTATAATGAAACTACAATTAAATTATATCAATTGGATTGCTTGTTTGTTTTATTGTAAAAAGAAGTAAAGAATGTAGTTTAAACATTCTGTTTAGCAGAAGTTAATTGATCATTACCAAGGCAGCTTTGGTTTATCAGTTTGACCAGGGTTGTTCATTTATGAAAGAAAGAAGGACCTACCCGTGTATCCCATTTAATTTTCTGTCAAACCTGATAAAAAACTTTTGGGGCCAGGATTTATATTTGCAAGTCTGTCTCGTTTTTTATGACTGGAATGTTTTGTTTTTTTCTTCTGTTTTAAAAGGGTTGGTAAAAAACAGACAATTCAGTAAATTTTGGGAAAATAATGGTGATAGAAAGTTGAAACTAAAACTTCATATTATCATAAAGGGAAATTTCAAACCAGCATTCTTGGGGGTTTTTTGTTACTGTAAATTGCTTATTGTACAATGGTACAACATATCACAATTTTCTCAGAAAATGTGAAATCTGTTTTTAATTTGGAATTAACTTCCTGCAATATTTCATATGTTGAATTTGATCTAATCTTGGGATGTTGATTAAACAAAATGACCTTCTATATCAAATTTAATTAATTTTGCTCTGCATCACAAGACGATGGTCTCTTCAAATTCCCCAGTGTCTGTGGCCCATTTCCAATTCTTGTTTTCATATCCTTAGTCCCTAGAGGTGCCCTTTTCAAATTTGATTAGCTGACAAGCAGCCATCTTGGATTTTGACAAGTTTTTTGTCACTATTTCTTTAGAAGAACTATGATCTTTCTCAACTTTCTCCTTGGTCTTCATTGATGCTGTATAACATTTGATACATATTGGTCTTTCTCATTGGTCTTCGTTGATGCTGTATAACATTTGATACATATTGGTCTTTCTCATTGGTCTTCGTTGATGCTGTATAACATTTGATACATATTGGTCTTTCTCATTGGTCTTCGTTGATGCTGTATAACATTTGATACATATTGGTCTTTCTCAAAGTCCAAAAATGATTGCTCCCCTAGTGTCATGATGGTGTCTTCAATTTTGTTTGAGTCGAATCAAAAGAAATAATGATTTTGGCTGAAATGTCATCTTGAATTTTGACAGGGAAAAAAATGTTGCTGTTTTTTCTTCAGATGTACTTGTATCTTTCCCAAATTTCATACTGGTTCTCTTTTTCCCTCAGAAAGGTACAACTTCAATTTCAACAGAAAAACAAAATGGCAGACAATTTGTTAATTTTTTATTCGTTGATGATTTTTCTTGAGATTTAATTGAAATTTATTTTATTTTATCAAATATTTACAATAAGATTTTGGTTTTAAAACTTTTCCGACTGAAAGAAGCCCTCTACCGACAACATTTTACAATGTATTGAGGAATTTCAGACAAGATTGGTAGAGGTAGCCATAACTGTAGAGATGAAGTGTAAATGGGAGAGATAATATTTGAAATATTTCCTTCATAGGCAGTATGTAGAACAATGAAGTTCTATAATTGATAGTTTAAAACGGCGGGAGAGACCTTTATCCACTCAGCCTAAACCTCTTTTTAGAAGTACTGACTGGATGGATCATTATTTTAAGGACACTCCATTTGGTCCTTAGTCATTGCTGATTGGGGAGAAATATAACAGGCAGCCATTGTGATTGTAGTCTTAAATTTTGTTATGGCTATTTTTACAAGTACCTGGATTATGTTATTGGTCGTTTAAGTTGTACTTTAGATTGATATATATAGATATTTTTTTTAATTAAATTTTAATTTCTCTTGTTATTCAGTATTACGATATCATGATAAATTTTCATGTCATTACAACATATGATAGACAACAGTTAGATAAGGCATCAAATTTATAAAGAGCCAATGAGAAAGTACATGTATATGAAAGTGCACACCAAGATTCCTCTGGGATCTCTTGTGTATGTGTCCTTTCTTTGTCCTTAAACTATTCTTATCATCAGTGTTTCTTGAAAAGTACTGGAAGGATATTTTGCACAATTTAATATGTAGGTTCTTTTCGGTCTCTAGTTGTACGAAAGTACATTGTTGCACTGATGCGAAAGACAACATGGCTGACAGGAGGCCATCTTCGATTTTAACAATAAAAAATGCTATGCTATATCTTGAGAAGTACTAGATGGATCTTTCTTAAATTTTCTCTCTGTCCCTTGTGTCCGTTTGATTTTGGGACTTGTTTAGAAAAAAAAGAAAACAACTAGAAATGGTTGACGAGCAATCATCTTGGATTTGGCATTTAAAGATTATTGTCACGATTTATTATGAAGAACCAAAAAAATAGGAAAGATGCAACTTTCATAGAACAAATAAAGATCAAGCAATGGATGACGTGTGCAAGGTCTTCCTGGGATCTCTTGTTATAACATTTTTCTGAATGAACAATTTGTCTTTGCCATGGAAAATTGAATGTTGATGATGTGATATGAATTACACAAGACTGACAAGACACTAACCGCAAGGTACCATGATGTCAAGTTACCCAGTTACGATATTAGTCACCTGTTGACGGAGAAGATTGCTTTTGACTTTTTGCTTCAGTGCGACGTTCCCATCCCGTGGCGGTTTGGGTTTCTCATGAAGTTCAGAAACTGACCGGTCTGTGCTGTGTTCTTGGACAAGATGCTTTAACCTACTTGCCATGAATGGTATGCGACGGACCTCCGGTATGTTGTTCAGTGAGTTAGTCACCAGCTACATCAAAATTACCCTTGCTCTTCACGGGTTGATAAACCCAGTGAGCAGATAAATATTAAGGTTATAGTATCTACTTTCTAGGACTCCGAACTTCGCCTCGCTAATTTATGATCTTGGTTTGTGAAATCTTGAGTCAAATAGTAAAAGTCTTAGCACTGGTACCATTACTGTTAGTTGACTGGAGATTATCAATTGGATTATTGTAAACGCCGAAATGGAAGGAAAAATATGACTTCTAAATAACGTCAGATTACTTTAAATCAATAAATGTCAAATCTGACCGAATTTGTTCGCAGAAATATCTGGACATGTTACATAGCAATTAATCAAGAATGACAATAAAATCATAGTATATCATTGGGTGTTTTTACCTTTTTTGAATTTCTTGGCTTCTGACAAATTATTTCACACATAGAAAACTTCATTATAACCGAAAAGTCGTATCCGAATTGTTCAATTAATGACGAAACATCAATAAACTGTGACCTTAGAACATTTCCACTTTCTGTTCTTGTTCCACATCCAATATCTATTTTAATACTGTTCACTTCAGGTCGGGTTAACTGCAACATCGTTGATAATAGCGTCCAGGTTTACTTGCCAAACGCCCGAAATACCAAAAAACACCATTCATTAATTGGGAACCCGATTTAGAACCTAGAGCCCTTTTGTATGCTTGGAGGGACTAGCCTAGACAATGTACACGAATTTGGAAGACGTCCAAGAGAATATCTTCAGAATGGATTAGAAATTGTGAGTATACACTACCCATCATCGAATACCTTTCTCCCTTACTTTTTCTGTTAAAGAATATTTCTGATCTCCCACGACACGCATAATTTGTACACAGGATAAAATTGTGGTACAAACTTAATCTTTCAAGCTAGGACTCATTTTCATATAGCAGTCATGAAATGATTACAGTTGTATTGCAATTACTTCATCTGTCTGTCCGTCCGTTTTGTCGTCATAGACTTGGGATTTTCGACCGTATTTTCGTTAATGCTTGTCCTAATATAATGAATTTCGACATTTATGATTTCACAAGCATAACAAACATCATAGAAATCAGAACTTGATTCCAAAGTTGATGCTTGAAATGAAGTATATAAAAGCTTCTTCTATACCAGTTTCCTACAAGCAAATATTGATGTATTCCATCTTGTATTTTGCTACTGAGCGTCTGGAAAACACGGCAGTCCTCCAGTCAGTATTCGCATTTGTTTTCTTGCAGATATATCTATTATTCTTGAAAAATTGATATATTGATGTTTTAGAAATGTCTCAATTATGTGTTTTTATTAAATTGATATTTTTGACCCTAATAAACCCGAAGTAAACATTCCTTGTGTGTAACGTTGTCAATAAACCGTTTCTCACTTTGACGACTTCACATTATTGCCATTTGGTAGACATTGCTTGTATCGGCTTTTACTCCACACTTTGACTCTGATTTAAAAATTTTGATAATTGGAAGGTGTCCAAGTGTTTACCGTTGTGTTTTTTTTTCCTCAAATATACACTAATTCACGCTTAAGAGAGAAATATCTATCGTCCGTTAAAAATTTTTGACAAAATCAGTCGCTCACAAAAATAACATTATTTGCGGTATATGTGCTATGCATACAGCCAATCCCTTGCATTGTGAATGGTTGCTATAATCATTAAGGGTCTCAGAATGATTGGAATTGTTTGTTTCGGGTTGGTAATCTTTATGGGAATTTCCAAAGAATCTGACCGTATGGGCGTGGGCATGCAATACACATCCCAAAACAACCAATATCGTGTACACTCGAGTAGAAGGTTTTTGACTGGTTGACTATATCTTTCGGTACAAAATGGTCACTGTTGTCTCCGTCGAGAATTAGTCAGCCATTTTCTCTCGCGGAATGCAACGGTGCATCACGCTTAGATGAATCCCTTATATTACAAGAATTTGTTTGATGTCAAATCACACGACGAAATGTCTCGTGGATTTCAAACATGCATCAAGTCATATGATTTATGTAAAATCTGCATTCTCCCAGGGGAATGAAATAGGAGTATCTTGTGTTATTTATCTATCATTTGGAAATCGATACCAGCATTCTAAGTACAAATTAGCCTGTCTGTCCTCTCTGTCTATCTCCACCTCTCACAACTAGGGAACCAGTGACTCAGAGATGAGTTCACGATCATGAATCACGGGCCCCGTAGTACGTAATAATTCTCAACACCTACCGAGGGACCCAGAAAATGATTTGATTAACTGTCATACCTACTGTATAATATATCTGTCTGCGGTCGCTTGAAAGTCCACGCTCGGATCAGAAATGTCTCCAA